ACTGGTCAGCCATCCTCGAATCAGTTCGCTTGCTTCCGCTTATATATGCATATTTTAAATCAGCGCGCCCCATTCTAAGGTTTTTTTAAAAAAAACCAAGAAACGTAGACTCTTGGTATTCATTACACATAAACTAGCGAGCCCCAGAATGAGAAACAAATTTTAATCATTATTATTGACGGATTAGTAAACTTTTTACACGCTTTGGAAAATCTCAGAAGTTCGCGGTAGTCACTTTTCGGTAAGGAACTAGGGGACTCGGTTATTGTGGGGGGGGGGGGGTCGAAACGATCGCAAAGGCGGTATACTACGTATACGCGCCAAAATCGGATCCAAAAGAAATAAATGAATGTGCCGAGTATTTACTGAAACTACTTTTAGTTGTGAAATATTTTGAAATCGAGACAAAAGCATGGTAAAACAATTTCATCGGTAGACTATCGAACATTGATATCTATAGATGAATTTTTGCCTGTGTATTTTGTTCATATAGATGTATTGTGCGTACCTAGGAGTTTGATCAAATTTCTTGAGACTCGTATTTACTTTATATGGATGCAATTTTTGAAAATTAACTCGAATGAAACTATAATACTAACTGTTATTGGCCTTAGAAAGAAATTGTGAAAATACGCGAGACTGTTAAAAATGGATTCTGTTTGGGGGTATTTGATATGATAAGTCCGAGGTATGATGAAGTGTCTAGTCTGTGATTTAAACATCGGTGGACGTTCGTTATCATTCAGATATAGGCCGAGAGTAATACTTGTGTGCACGACACATTTTTCTCCATTCTAGCTTTACCTAGAGCCAAAAAAGTCAAAATTAAAAGTTCCTATTTAAGTAAACTCAGTCCATCGATACAATTTTTCAAACACAAGAGTTGCGAAAACAAGATCTCAAAGGTTATTGTTATGGTTAGTGTCGACGTTGAGCAAAGACATGAAGATAGAGTCTATAAGTGAAACCGCGCTAATTTGAGCGATGCTTGGTGTTGAGACGAAACTGACGCAATTAATGTCCTTAAAATTGTAGCGTACAACAATGACGTTACACTACTTCTACTCTAGTACAGTTTATTGTTAAATAGCTTGTTCTGAAAACTTTTTAAGGAAAATAATTATTCAAAGCTCATATGAGAAAATGCAAGACTTCGCGGTTCATGACCATTCATCATTCAAATCATGACCATTGGCTGGGAATAATAAATGTAAAGCAGAGAAATTCAAATGCAGCTTTTTCTGTGGCATCCGTATTTAAGAGGGGGAAAATGTAGTGCCCCAAACTTTTTCCCGTTTATTTTCCTCTTGAGCTTTTTGAAGTTGTGCACCACGGGAGGAACTATACGGGCTAATTAAATATTTGCAAATAACGTAGCTGGGAAGAAGATGATTAATATTGATTCAAAGCTAATCCACTGAACTTCCCGCACTTAAATTGAAACTACCCATTAATTTATCAGTTCATTCGCCCCGTCAAAAATAATTTTGATCGACTTAACGTAGGTTTGATTGACAACGATGACGGTCGGATGATTTTCACAAAATGAAAGATGACGTCAACTAAATGTTTAATTTCTGCACCATCATTTCTTTCCGGGCTCTTTATTTAAAGTGTGGCCTAGCAAGTTACATTTAGGGTCTAGTATTTCAAACCACTGGTAATGTTTTGATTGAAGAAAGAAGCGAAATAATGAAAACAAATTGAACATTTTTCTGTGATAACATCCGCCATGAATTCATATATTATAGACCAATTATTTACCTTGGATGTGCCGTTTAGCCTTTATCAAATGTTTAAAAGTAATTGCCGACATAATCCATCCAGTGATAACTTGGATGCATTGCGCACAGTACATTAAGGTCAGTGGCGTGGTCAATATTTCAGAAACAAAAGGTATGAAATCAATTCATTGGACTAGAGTTGTAGTCCAAAAATATTAGAATAAACGCAACCTTCATACGATAGAGTTTCACTATGATTTTAAACACCTCCAGTGTTAATATGCTCTCTGTGATGTTTTCAAGAAGAGGCATCACCTTTAATTTGAATTTTCACATTGTCTGGTGGTCCGTTGAATTGCCCAGCTTGTTGATCAAAAGGCAACGTTGGAAATAAATGTACGAAGACTCCTAGCTACAGCTTCAGACAAATTTAAGCGAGGAGGTAGAGGAATATGAAGAAAAAAAGTTATCAAGTAAGAGTTTATTGACTGCCACGATTTTTATTTCTAAGTATTTTTCCTCTTCCCTTACCCTCTCTTTTTATACCAGTCCGATGCTGGTAATTGGACTCGATCGTTTTTTCTCCCCGGCCCGGCGAGACGGAGGAACGACTATAATTTTTTTCTATCAAGGCGAATAGCATCTGTACAGAGTTTATATTCAACTCTGCAACTCTAGAGGTTCTTGTTTTTACGGGTCAGAGATTACATTTTTTCCCAAAGATTTCATTTTTCTTTCTCGAGAAAATCCCTACTGACCTACTTAGTTGCAGCTGTTGGCCACGAAACATGAGTTGGAGCTTCCTTTTAAAAAAACGACACTGGTATTTGTCGTTAAACCTTAGTTAGCATATAACATTGAAAGGAAGTGTTCAAGTATTACGTAAGCCACTTAGAGGAGGGAAAGAGTATCTGAGCTTGCTTTACCGGGTGTTGCAAGAGAGAAGAGTAGATCAAGTCCAGTTTTACGTAAGCCTCCACCTTTAAAATTAGAAACAATTTTTCAATGAAGAGACATTTCTCAGCCATTTTTCAGGATGTCTCTCTTGTTTCCAAAAAAAAAAAAAAAAAAAAAAAAAAAAAAAAAAAAAAAAAAAAAAAAAAGGAGGAGGTTATGTAATTTTACGTAACTTTAAAGGAGGGCGAGAGTTTGGTTTACGGGTCCTCTGCAGCAGGAGGGCAAACATTTAGCCGAAATGCCTCACATAATACTATAACGGTTCCATATCAATTCCTTCATAAAGTGGAACTCTCTGGTTCAAGATTGCCATTTTTGGGCATTGGATTTTTAGCGGCTCTGGTGCTTGCACTAGAGCTGCTATTCCGGACGGTCCCAGCTGGGGAGTATCAATGGACCATGTTACATTGGAGAGACCGCGCATTGGTTGATGGGAATCGGCGCCATTTTCGACTATGTACCTTGTCATGACTTTATTTTATTGCATATTGTTTTATTGTTAGCCAATGCTATGTTGTGTAGTGTATTTTTGGAATCATGGTGATACAGTCAATAATTCAAAACTTGTCTGTGCTTTAATCTCGTGATGGAAAAAATGTACTTTACGTTCAAAATTTGAAATTTTGAATTTTAAAGTTTTCGCGGTTTTTTTGGAAGAATGCAGTGGTTGGAGCTTCCTAGGCATATTACTCGATATCAGCTGATAGCAAACAAAGGTTACCAAGGAAACCGTAAACGTTTAACAACTATCGTGGCCATCGGGGCGATTATTGAAATGACATCGACTCTATGCCGCCGCTTACGACAGGACATAGCCCTATCTTATCCGTGTAATATATCGCAATTCGATATTGTTTTGATTTTTAAATGGAGCAATTTATTCATAAAGTTCCGATTAGTTTTGGCGAACGGGCCCCTTAACCTACGTCACTAGGCCTTCTTGGAGGCCTTTTGGGGGCTCTAGGCCCCCTAGGTCCTCCCAAAGGGTTTGTGTGTCTAGGCCCTCATTCTTGACTACAACTACCGTCGCCAGAGCCGCTTTCCGACGCGAATGCGTTGGAGCTTACTGCTTGTTTTTTTAAACATTGAGCTCAGCATTGATAGGTATATCTGAGGGATTTGATTTCCGAGTGCTGCATTTAAGAATTGCATTTTTATTTTATTTCGTTGAGAAAAAAGCAATAGAAAACGTGACATGCTTCAACAGGCTGCAGTAGTGCAGCGCATGAACGTTCTTTTACACATCATGAAGAGGTAGACGTGCATGCACTGCAGGGATCTGCTTCGGAATTAAACGGTCTCGCTGTTGAGAAAAACAGATAATGGCAGGGAAAATCCTTGTTTCGTGTGTAAACAAGTCCTTTAAGTAACACTTTCCTTTAAGCCCGTATTCTATGACGCTTGTTGCATAGCGATGAATGAATTACCTATAAAATTTTCGAGCGATTCGTAATTTACGATCGGTTCTGGATAAAAATAGCAAATTAACGAACGTACACAATCTGACTATGTTATATTATGTACATGGAAAATACAACCCTAATTCAAACATCCTCCTTCCTCAGACAAGCTCACTCAGTTGAAGAAGTTATTCGATCAGACGCCTGTATGAAAGTAAACGAACTTATCAACGGTTGATGAGGGTGGAAGGGCTCATTTGGAGAGGGAGCGAGGAGAGGTTGTTGAGCCAAGAGTTTCGTTCAATCGGATCCTTGATGTCGAACATCGATGAGTGAAGGCATCTTAATATGTGACAAGAACAGAAAATTAATGTTCCGTGTACGAGGAACAAAGTAAGTATAAATAGCTTCTCCATCCCGTAATGTAGCATGCGAGGCTTACGTACTTAGAGTTTCTCAACCTCTCAAGCTCCGTTCTCAAGTTGTTATGGAGCAATTTCGACGAATTGTTCGACTTTGGTTGTATAGAGGCTCCTTGTAAGGGTAAAGTGCTCATCACCGTGGGAGTCCCCAAAAATCCTTATCAAATCCTTTGAATCGACCAACGATAGTCCGAGAGAATGAAAACATTCATTGTGTTTAATAGTGCTCCTTCACAACAGTGTTCCGAGAAAAAACACGCTATTATAACGCAACGGATCTCACATCTATCGTTACAAATCATAAAGACGTTATAGTCTGGTTTTGACTAAATTCATCATGAGAACTCGAAGGAATAATATTTTTTTTTTTCGGATTTAAGCAGGAAAATGATTCTAACCCTCCACGTTTTCCTTAAGTAGGCTGATAAAGTGCACCAAAGTAACGGGAAGAATTAATGAATAAAACGTGGACAAAGAAGTCTGGCAAAAATACATACCCATCTACAAGCGGAACTTCAGATAGTATTCTTTGAACTATTGCTAATCGATCTTCGTAAGACATTCCTTCGCTAGTTGGAGAACCGTTCGATTTTTTTAATGCTGAAGGCACGACAATTCCAACTAAAATGGCAGTGACGAGGAGAAATATTATTGTGAGGATGGCCCAAGGCCTCAAACGTAACTCATAAATTGCTGAAACAGGACACAAAAAGTCAGAAATCACACAGTGTACTTTCAAACTAATAGTAGGTATACTGTGCACGAATGCAACGAAGCGCCTTCATATTCGTTTGATACCCTAAGCATCACCGCGGAGTTAGTTTAGCTGCTTAACCCAACCGAACCTAACGTTGCCCGGCACTCTTCACCGCCCGTTGTTCGGGGCGTAATAAGGATAATAACTAAATGATAAAACTGCTATAAAGTCTTATTTACACATCAAAAGCTCAATATCTCGTATCGGGAACAGGAAGGATACCTTTGAATGCAATCAAAATCAAAGCTTTATCTTTAGCAGCTCAAAAGTTACTGCAAAAATTGATTTCTAATTGAACCACGCTCCTGTTGATTCTGAAGAGTTTTATTGAATTAAATTAGATTTTGTATTCTGCGGAAAATTTCACGATATTTTGGCAAAGTATTCAAACTAGGAAAAAACTGCGTATTTTCAATAAATAATAAACCTCCGTAAATGACTTATCATCTGTAATTAATATCTGAAATGGCCGATGAGGAGGAAATAAGACATGCCATAATTTATTATGGGTAAAAAAAAATATCGACAGTGAAACTACCGGACTAGGTTCTCGGTTGAAGACTTCCTGTCATAGTTCATTTTCTAAATGGAAACTATTTAACGCCAAATTTTGAAAAAGTCCATGATTTTTCTTCTCTATGTTAAAAGAACTCTGTGAAACTTTAGAGAATGATACTGATTTGTTCTCCCTCGAAATAATAAAAAGGAGGCGGAGATTTTCAAACACTGCAAACAAGATACGTAATTTGGCAGTTTCACCGCCGATATGTATTTAAGGGACTATCCAAGAAGGTTCTTTTCCCCCTTTCTTTCGAGGTCAAAATAAACTAAATTTTACACCCGATATTTTGAGGAAGAATAGTATTTAGAAGAAAAAGATAATGAAGACATGATAATTAAAATTATAAGTCACGAATTCCTTAGCTTTCTGGAAAAAAATGTATTACAGCTTTTATCAGCTATTCTTATTGAAAGGGACTGGACAAAATAAGTGTCTAATTTAAGATACTTAAACAACAATTACGCTCATTGTCTTCTTTATTGATGGCGAAGCTTACAAACCACGTACCTCGTTAATGGTGTTTAAATTAATCCAGTCCTTCTTTTGTTTTCTTTTTAAAATGGAAAAAACAGCATCATTCCTGGCAGTTTTTTTCAGTATTTGCTCCCTACCGAGAATCACGGAAGTTTTTCAGAACTGATGTGGAGCAGTTCTTCATTTAAAAAGCAAAGAAAAGTAGGAAGTCTGCAACGTCGCAAACTGAGATACATGGTTTGGGAGGTTCACCGTCTTTACCTTTTTCAGAATAAGTATATTTTCATTAAATAGTTTGTGTACTCTATTTGGAAAACGTTTTTCAGATGGCAGGAAAAAAGCACACTAAATTCAAAATCATTCCTCAGGCGGTTTCTTTGAAGTGTAAAAGATCTAACATCACAAACTAAAATCTGTATTCTCTCAATAGTGTCAACTTAATAGCTTACATTTTACATGTTACTCATTGTCAGGTATAAGATCGTAAAAATGTGCTCTGTCTTATGACTATAACTCAACTTGAAATGTGCCCAGTGAAGCATCGGAATTAATATTAATTTTTATAATGGAATTCTTACCTTTTGGTCCATCTGAACTGGAGTCACTGGAAACCGAATCTACTGCTGCTATCAGGGACCTCGATTGTCCGTTGCACCTTCCACCTCCATTTATCAGGCAAGTTGTCTGCACACAAAGTGAAAAATAAATGTTATAAGATTATGTTTTCAGAACTTTCTTCAATCGAAATATATTATAAGCACGTTATTTTTTTTATTTTTTTTTATTTTTCAAAAAACGACGTGGTATTTAGAAGCAAAATGCATGGTTTTCCCTCTTTACACACCCTCGCAGAAGAGTTAAGCCGATGCAAAAATCTCAAGAGAATGCAGCTACTCCAGCACTCAAGAGGAGCTGTGAAATATGACCCAGGTTTTTCTTAATGTGATAAAATTGTAAATTTTCCCATTTAAACAACATAAATTTTCATTTTCTGTCACATTTTGCTTTTAATAAATACCGCGCTGATTTTCATTATTTTTGCGGTTATTGATAGGAGATAGTCTCCAGATGAGCCCCCGCTCTATTAAGATTAATTCACTGAAGCCCGTGAAATGGGTCCATAGAAGACGCACCGCACCTTCTGAAGGGTTGGCCGCGTGGCGGCCAGAGGGCGTACCTCCTAGTTAGTCGGTAGCGGTCCAATGAAAAGCCTAAAACTGATAAGACGATCAGAGACCAGCACAGACATGGCAATACTTTTCCTACGTATGTACTTCGCTTATGCGTGTGTTTCAGGGAACGCCGACGAGTACAGTTTGTTTGTTTTCTAATTTTTCCTCGGGACACCCGCGTAAGTGTTAAAGAGCTCCTCCGAAGGGACATTAATGGAGGAACGCTGTCACGGTTACACGAGGTGGAAGCGGCGTGAAAAGTTCTGCAAAAAGGTCTCGCGGCGAGAGGCGGGCGGCGCATTGGCCTGGTCCTGTTATTAATGCTTATCTAATTTAAACTTTCAATATGAGAGTCTAGTGTTACAGCGATGGCCGGCAGAGTGGCTGAGTGCTGAAAGTAGGACGTCAGCGCGGATCGGCCTGGCGCAGCGCAGCGTGGAGACGAACGTGATGCGGCCCTGGCTACGCTGCGGAAAATTCTCGCTCCTCTGACGAAAGGGCGAATTTGATTTTTCACGTGAGCCCTGTTTCACATATAAAGCCATGTTTTCTGGGTCTCATGTGGAAATCGATGTGCGCTCTTACGTTAGAGAGGCAACGAAATGTGAGCATCTATTCCATGCCTCACCACCACATCGGCTCGGCGGACAGTAGAACGAGACGATGGGGGAGGGCGGATAAAAAATTTCGCACTAAAATCAAACATTTTTACATTCATTTTTTCACATAATATATATGTTCATGGGTGCTTCTTATAGGGAATCTCACGAGGAATCCGATAGAAAAAAAATTGAAGCCCAACCTCCTTCATTTATGAAGATATGAGCTTTTAAATTTTTCATAAAATATCAGAAATCTTCCAATGACTTGTTCTACTGTGCGCCAAACGTCGTCGTTGGCACGTTCCTCCCGGCTCACAATGGACACAGAGCGGCAAGGAAAAAACCTTGATCTAAAAAAAATGTTCTTTAATATTCTGTCAAGATTTCCTTTGGAATCAAGAATAAAATTATTTGAATCGGACATGTATTTGCTTGATTTAATCCACTTCCTTTTTGTTAAAAATGTCTGTTCTTCTTGATACAAACATTTTCCAGCCTTGAGTGATATAAAAAAGAAATTTCCAAGTGGAAGATTAAAGAATACTTCCTCTTAGATTAAAGTCACTTTTTACCATGGAAAAAAGAGTAAAAGGGCTTTCAAAAATGTCGTCCTCTGTTGGATTGTCCCCAGATTATGTAGCGATTTTAAGGCCTCCGTGGACGATGTAAGTGCCCATCTAAATGAGAGGATTTGAGTTGGGAATCATCAATCCTAGAATCGTTACCTCTCATTATGTTTAAATGAAAACTAGGCAGGAATGTTTCATCCGGCAAAAAATTATGAATAGTGACCCTCAATTTGTTTTATTAAATCGGGTGGGCCGTCCAATTTGGATCGAAGAGGAATGCTGCATGATGACATACGCAGCTATCAAATGGTCTATTTTCATTGGAATTGATTCGGAATTTGACCGCCAATCAAGACCTTTTTTTTTTTTTTATCAAGGCCTTTTAAGAGGAGAACTCTGGACTATGAAAGTGCCACTGTGGACTAAAAAGTGCCACTGGTGGACTATGAAAGATTGTGAAAGAATGCTCTCTCGACTGGTGCTACGAAGCTGCCACCCCCAATCTTTAGATCCACCGTGCGTCGGCACACTTCCCCCATCCACTGACCCGTTCGACCCCCTTTAACCGTACCCCTCCCCCCTCTAGGGTCCCACCGTCACCCTCGCAGCATCGGTCAAAAACGCTATTAGCTACGCAGCATTTTTTTCTCGATATTTACAATAGGATGCAAACAAAAAACCTCTCTCGAGCACAATCCACTCAGCATCTGTCGTGCTGAAGAAAAACGCCGTATTAACATTTGGATGTTGCCAAATTTCCTCCGGGATAACACTCACACTTAAGTAAAGTTATAAATTTACTCCCTTGAATTTTTCCATACTCTAGATTAAGCTACGCAGACGATTATCTAAAAATTCAAAAGAGAAAGAACCACATAGAGTTCCTTTATATACTGAGAGTCAAGACAATGCGAATCCATTTCTGATTGGTTCCCGTATTTTAGGCCTTTAAAGTGTCACAAACGGGAATAAATATTACAGTTTCACCAATTGCAAAGATTATAAATCTGAATGGACCGGGGAACAGGAGGTACGGTAGGGAACGAATAAAATGAGAGTGGGAACGGAGACATGGAATTCGGGAATGGGTTGATCAAAGAATACAGCAAACGTCTGATTTGTGTAATCTTTTTTCCCGTTTGTGACATCCACAAGCCGCGTTGTCTCAACTCTCTCTATAAAGGGACTCTAGATTTTAGATGATTTGTTTTTATCGGATGAAATTCGGCAACATTCGATGCTCATGCGACGTTTTACTTTACAAAGGCAGAGCTCTCGTCCTCCCCTCTTTATCATTAGGATTCGGAAAAAAGTCACCGGGACAACGGTCGGAAACTTTTTGATCCTCGCTTTTCATCTTGTTATTTCGTTTGCATTGCGACGGACTCAGTCGTTCGCACCTCGGAAGTTTGTTTTACAATCCACGCGTTCGAGTCCTGATTAAGTTCCGCCGTCTCGCCAGAATCGGCATGGAACGCTCACGTCCGCAACCATCGAATCGAGGCAGCGGAACGATTGCGAAAGGCGGGAAACGCGAATCTCGACTTAAGAACTTGATGATTTCTTGTCAAATAGTATTTTATTAAAGAATAATAGTTAGTTAGTTAATTAATTTATTTATTGACATTCATCATCCTAGACTATTTACGTCTTTACAAAGAATTTGAAAGATGGGTACATATACAAAAATTCAGATTTTAAGACACTTTCACAGTGTTCTTTGGCGCTCTGCGACGCCTGACCGCCACAGTACCCTGTCCTCCCACAACCCTTCAGGGAGTTGGCACTCCCTCATTTCATGTGAAACCCCACGTCACCACCTTTTCACTGGGCATCCCCTTCGTCTCCTTCCAGGAGGAACCCAATCAGGCATCTTCTTTGGTAGCATCTATTCCGTCACTCTGTTGACATGAGCGTACCAGACAAGCTGTTTGGTCATGACATCGAACCTAATGTCATTCTTGACATCCATGATCTGACGCACTCTATCATTACGTATCTCCTAGAAATTCCTGCAAACCTCCGCCAAAAATTAATCTCCGTTTCTCTTAAAATATACTGTGTCCATTTTTTGCTAAGCTTCACATCCGTACGTTAAAATACTTTTCCACAGCGTTGCAAATTCTCCTCTTATCTTTCGATCAGTCAACTTGATTGGTTTATTTTCGTGTTCACATACTTTTAGTTTTAATTTAGGTTTTTCTTTTTTTTCTGCTATTTAAGGGCTTTGTGTAATTTAAGTTATACAATGGACAATTTCCGTAATGAACAGCTAAAAATTTGCATCCGGGCAAAACGAACCCATTTCCTGGAAAAAAATGAAAACGAGAACAGTACTTCAGCAAAATGCGTTCAACCTCGAAGTTTGCTCAATTCTGCAATAATTTTTCCCTATGTCCTGTTAACTTTCAAAAATTAGGAGTGACTGGAAATTCGGCTTCGGTGGAGCGTGCATCGGGCGAAAGAATGAAAATTCGGCTCGGCAATTGCGGCCGTTCTCCCGGCTGAGCGAACAGCGGGACAATGGCTCCCACGGAGAGCACAATGGGCAGGAACCCGAGAATTTCGAGACTCCGAAACTATAATGACTGATTTCCAAAACACACTTTGGCGTGAGTGTGCTCTGCGGACTGAATTAGTACGGCGTCACTAAATTACAAAAAGCCATTACAATATCGATTCCGGTCTCGAGCGCCGCCTGAATTGCTCCGGAACAGCCCTCTCCTCTCCCATCCTACCCTCCATTTTAGTCAGGGACGAAGTCGTCCAAAAACCCGACCTTCATCGGAGATTCCACTCGGTGTACAGCTTCTTTTAAGGAGATCTGGACTTTTTTTGCATCTAAATGTGTCGGCGTCGTTTGACTCTCCAGGCAATCACCATATCACCTCGCGTCGGTTCTTTGGTATATATTCCATTATTCAGTTTGGATACTTTGACATGCTGAGCATTACTTATAGAGCAACCACATGTATTCTGCCGTGCTAAGGAAAAACGCCGTATGAACCTTCAGGCGTTGCCAAGTTTCCTTCGATAAAACACGAATTCCCGGGTAAACTTATAAATATTTTCCTTCCAATTTTACAGATAATTTTGTTCGCAATTTTACCTGAAGTTCCTGAAAACTTCGAGGAAAAATATTCATGACTTTCCTAATAAATACAAATTTTATGGGAGGAAATTTGAAAACTCTCGAATGTTCATACGGCGTTTTTCCTTAGCACGGCAGTATTCGTGCCATTAGGCAAGCACGACATCTATTAAGATGCGTTTGTAGTATATGCGAAGAATTGAAGGGGCTTTTTCTTCGTGACTCCTCACAGTACGTACTGCCCATCACC